CTCGAGGATAGAAAAAGTATTAGCTATAGATTATAGAGACGTTGCTGTTATACTATTACTCTTAGTTTAGTAAACTATCTTCTAATATATATTATAGCCTATATTCTTTATAGAGATAGTTAACTAGGTTCTGCTTAGCAGACTTACTATAGTTAATATGCCTATATGCGTTATATTAATATAATTCTTTATAGAGTTTTAACTCTAGATACGTAGGAATAGCTTCTATATACTAAGAGAAATCTAAGTATTCTTACTTTAAGAGTATATCTTCTGCTAGTTATTAAATATAAGCTTTAATAGATTAACGTTATTATAGCGTTATATTGCCTTAGTAGTTATTATAGAAGTAGTATTTAATACTGCGTAGTAAAAGAGCATATTAGTAAATAGCATATATAATAATTCTATATTAGTAGTTAATAATAAGATAATTAGAATAAGATATAATAGTCTAGTGTTTAATAGTGTTAGTAGCATCTATAGTATTTTAACTTCTATCTATAGTAGAAAATCTATTACTATGCTAATTTTAGCTAGTTAGTATTATAGTCTTTGCTAATATAGATATAACTTTAGCAGCTCTATGCTATATGTATCTTTAGCTTATATATCTTATAATACTGCTTTCTATTCTAAGATTAATACTAACTTTATCTAAGAAGAATAAGAAGATATATGCGTTGCTTTATAATACTTTATTAGAGTTTAGGTTAGATATACTAATTTATATAGTACTAGAGAGCTATAGCAAGCCTACGTATATATTTATTTTACTAACGCTAGAAACTATACTATGCTAAATTTACTAGCGCGTTAATAAGCATTAGCTTATATGCTTTATTAATAATATATATAATAACCTTATTAATAAGATTGCAGTTTTAGATAATAATAGTATATCTAATAATATAACAGCTAGCTATAAAGGCGTATCTAAATCTAAGCTCTGCGTATCTACTAAATAAATATATTTACTAAAAGAAATATCTATAAGATAAGCTAATAAATAGTTAAAGAATAAACTAGACAGCACTATTATATAAACTATAGTAAGTATGCAGAATTAAGTAAGTACAAAGTAAGATAAAGTGTTATATAGTAACTAGAAATAAAAGTATTATAAGTTTGCGCAGAAGTTGCTAGGTGTAGGCATTAAGGTAGTTAGAAATATAATAAATAAAGCTGCAGCAATTAGAATAACAG